TTCTAGCTCAAAGCAGCTTCATTCATGGGAACTATTCGGGGTCAATACCACTGAAATACCACAGTTGCTGTATTTCAGTAAGAGTCCTGGGACGACTCCTGCATGTTTAGAAGCCAAATAAACTGCTACTGTTGTCTTGATGTTTCCCAAGGTCACTACTACTCAGGGGTCAATATCTGTTTATTGTATTTGAATATGTCATCTCTCCTATGAGCTTCTGAACTTAATTAAAAGCAACCGTTAGTGGGAGAAGGACTCAGTTGTAGGCAAAGCAACATGTTCATTTATTGCCAATCGCTAGTTGTCAACACGGGTAAATAAAGATTTTAAAATGCTAAAATTCTGCCATTTACAAATGAACACCAGTTATCACGTGGTAACTTTTCTCCTGGCCTTCCTTTTTTATTACTATAATGGTACATCTTTGTGGAGTGTAGCATAGGAATTCATTATATGCAGACAGTGTGTGATGATCAAATCAAGTGGGTTTACTTTTCCAGTTTCCTCAATATGTTTTATATTCTTTTGATTAATATTAAATGCTTTCACCTCTTTGGAGTATAGTGTGATGTGTCAGATATGTAAAGACTGTGTATGGTACAGATGAGGGCTGTTAGCATTCCCCTTCCTTATTATGACAACTTTGGAGCCATTGAGCTCCTCTCTTCTATTTACTCCATTTATTCCTCCTGGATATTATGGGCTATTGTAAACTGCTGGTCTTCCTTTTCCACGTGATGTGTGCATACCCCTTGAGTCAACAGCCTCCCAGGCTCATGCAACCCAAAGCCAACGGCAGGATCATGGATCAAGGAAGTCAGCATGTGGTGGGCAGTGATGTCTCTCACCATGCTGCACAGGGGATTTGTGAAGGGTGACGAGCTCAAAAGAACCCTTCAGGGTGTGCGCTGCTGGGTTTGAGCAATGATTTCTAAGGCTCGTGTTGATGATCTATGAAATCCAATCAAGTGTCTCCCTTTTTCTTGTCTGTTTTGGCCAGGTGCTGAGGAAAGACTGGACCTGACAGAGGTGGACCTTTGCTGTCCACCATGGTGCCACACAGCTCTCAGAATCTGTGAGTTGATGAGGATTTCTGTCTGTGTGTTTCATGTTCATGATGCTGCCAAAGCCTGCAGTTTGGTGTACCTATTGCTACTTGGATCATGTGACCACAGAAATCAGCTTATAATTATGTACAGCTTTGGGATCTCTGTGGATCTGATAGTTCTTGGCACATAAGTACTGGAACTCCCTTGCATGGTGGTGCTGGTTATCCCATGGCTGGGAGTTCACTGCAGGCCAGTAGTCAGAAGGATCAAGCTGGGGACTTATTTGCCTCTCTCACTTGGGCCTTCAAGGTCTTGGGCAATTTGTGTTTGCATCATGTCTGTGTAAGCTGTGGAAATGTAACTTACCCTTCCGGCATTAGGTGGGGATGGGGTTGAATGGGTTCATTTACATAGAGTGCCGCCAGTGATCAGATTCTTCTCAACTTTTGAGAACTTGAGCTCTGCATCGGAATGCATTTTCTAGGGAAAACACACACACACACACACACACACACACACTTTTAAAAAACATACATGATCAATCATAAAAACCTCACAACACTGATACACACAAACCCACACAATCTCTAAATGACCCAGCTCCTTCCAGGGCCTGCCTTAGATGCCCATAGCTATGCACTGGCCCATCTGTTTCTTTCACACACCCGAGATCCTCTTATCCACCAGGAAACTGAAATCAGGTTGAATCACCAGGGGAGAGCAGGCAGAAAGCTCCCACTCTCTCCTCCCTTCGGTTTCCCTCAACAACCGAGGGATTCCAGGATACATACCGTTTTCGCTGGATCTCGAGTCCGTCTGCAACCAGAGAGAGAGAGTCTCTGTAGGACCGCATTCTGTCTGCACAGGGCTCCTGTGGGAAACCTGATGGGACACAGTGCATGAGGCAGCCGCCCCCAGATAAAGCACAGAGCACACTTGTGTGCAAGACACGACCTTCCACAGGTGATGGCGCATGTCTGTTTGCTTGGCAAATACAAGATGCTCTTTTAAGAATGAAAAGTGCTACTGAGGAAATGCCCCGTACCACATAGCTTGGAAACGCTGCTGTCATTTTTTTAAATTTATTTGACAGATAGAGTTAGACAGTGATAGAGAGAGACAGAGAGAAAGTTCTTCCTTCCGTTGATTCACCCCCAAAATGGCCGCTATGGCCGGCGCGCTGCACTGATCTGAAGCCAGGAGCCAGGTGCTTCTCCTGGTCTCCCATGTGGGTGCAGGGCCCAACCACTTGGGCCATCCTCCACTGTCTTCCCGGGCCACAGCAGAGAGCTGGACTGGAAGAGGAGCAACCATATGGGATACTGGTGCCACAGGCAGAGGATTAACCAAGTGAGCCACGGCACCGACCCTGCTGCGGTCATTTTTGAAGACCATCTTGAGTCAGGTCTCACTTAATAATAGGCGAGCACTTAATTTATACCAACAGGAAAATTGTGGGAGTCATCTGCAATGTATGCAGCCAGATTTTCAATTTGAGAAAGAAAATTGATTGTAAACAAAGAAACAAAGGCACCCATACCTTGCCAAGCCTTCTCCTCTGCCCTGTGTTTGGTGTGTTCTTCCACCAGGTCGTCGGGGGCAGCTGGGAGGACACAGGGTAACTGTCAGTAAATTCGAGCTGTGGACAAGTTAGGCAGGGACACTTGCCTATGTGGACATGGGACTAGGACTTGTGGGTTGGTGAGCAGTGAACAACATGGACAGTTCTGTGCTGCACTCAGTGACAGAGCAAGAAAAAAAGCCAGCCCCACGCCCACAAGCAATTCAGAAAGGCCACCAGAAGTGGGCTCTGAACTGCTCGTGGACACTTTGGGGCCATCCTCGTAGGTGGGTGAAAGAAGGCCAAGCAGAGGGGCGGGAAATAAATGAGGAACGGGGTCTTGATTTCTTGCCCAAAGCAACCAAGTCAATGTGAAATAGTTTGAGGTAGTCACGTGCTGTAGTGCACTGACTCCTTTGCAAGGTCTCATCACTGCTCCTGCCCATTTTGTAGGCCATGGAAATCCCCAGTTTTTCTTGAAGTGTTCCAACATCACTTACCTCCATGGCTCAACATGAGCTGCTGCCTCATTGGCTGTCTGTTCTGTTGGGTATTTGTATTTTGATATTTTAAGATTTATTTTATTTCTTTGAAAGGCAGAGACAGGGAGAGAGTGGGGGTGGGGAGAGAGAATCTTCTATCTGCTGGCTCACCCTCCAGATGGCTGCAATGGCCACGGTTAGGCCAGGCTGAAGCCAGGAGCCTGGGTCACCTCTGGGTCTCATATGTAGACAGCAGGGGCCCAGGCACTTGGACCATCCCGCACTGCTTTCCCAGGAACAGTAGCAGGAGCAGGAACAGCAGCTGCTGGGACTCAAACTGGAGCTCCAGTAGGGACAGGCTTTCCTCATGCACCACCGTGCCAGGCCCTCTGTTGGGTGTTTTAAGTTGCTATGGGGAAGCAGACATATTACTTATTATTTTAATCATTTGGAAGGGAACACTGCAGTGGCATGAATTATTTGACAATGCTGGCATACCTTATTCCTGTGTGCTGCAACTGTTGTCATCATACCCACTGTAAATTCTGCAGTTATTAAGAAAGAAATCTACCTTCCCCTCTCCTTCCATCCCTGGCTTATCTGTACTTTCAGTTCCTTTGGTTTGTTTCTTGTGGACATGCCACTTTAAGTGTTTGCCTTTAGTGCTTGCCTTTTTCAGTAAGCATTGTGTGTTACCACGTTCGTCCATGTTGTGGTATACATCAAACTTTGATTGTCTATATACTCCATTTTCATCACACGTTCATTTGTTGGTGGACACTGGGAAATACTCCAGTTCTGTGTCTCCACCTGCTGCCTGCTATGAGCGCTGGGGTGGAGAGATACCTGCTTGCCCCCTGCTTTCCACTTTTTGGTGATTTATACCACAGGTGGTATATGAGGTGAGAAACTACCTGATAGTCCTTAGGTACATGATAGGGATTCATGTCGAAAATGAAAGCAACTCAGTTAAAAATGGTAAATTGACACGTGCACAGTGAAAGTATCCCGGTAGCCAGCATGCATAGGGAGCAGTGCTCAACACCGTCTGCTGTAAGGAACCATGAACTGAGATGACAATGAGTCCAGGAACCATGAATCAGGATACTGTGACCCAGGCATCCCACTGCCACAGAGAAGGCCAACAAATGATCACACCCACAGCTGTGACAAGGGCTCACAGCGTTGTGCAGAGAAAGTGCAACTGTCCAATGGTGCTGTCAGTGAAGAGGATGTGGTAGAACCCTGTCTGTAGGCCACATGTGCCTGCTTGATGAAGAGGGAGAAAGGCATAGTTCATGCTAGAGAATTGCTGGACCTTGGAAACATGGTGCTGGGTGGGAGAAGCCGCACACCAAGGGTCACCTTTCCTGTGGTTCTGTTTATATGAGAAGCATGTCGCAAAGAAATTCAGAGACAAAGTACATTCATGATTGCCAGGGCCTGGGATTAAGTGAAGGGAAGAGGATTGGTCAGTGATAAGTGGTTTCCTCTGGGGTGGTGGTGAAATGGTTTTTGAAATCTTGGAGGTGTCTGCACATCCATGCAAATATTTAATAAAACGACATCAGTGTTTGATTTAGCAGGTGATTTTTGGGATGAATCCTTTACACATCAGTAACATAACAAGAAAATGGTCCCAGAACCTGCATCTTAGTGTAGTGGGCAAAGCCTGTCTCCTGCAATGCCAGCATCCCATATGGGCTGGCATTGGGTTCATGTACCAGCTGCTCTACTTCAGCGCAGCTCCCTGCGAATGGCCTGGGAAAGCAGTGGAAAATGGCCTGAGTCCTTGGGCTCCTGACACCATGTGAGAGACCCAGAAGAAACTCTTGGTTCCTGGCTCTGGACCAGCTCAGCTCTGGCTGTTGTGGCCATTTGGGGAGTGAGCCATAAGATGGATGATTCTCTCTCTCTCTCTCTCTCTCTCTCTCTCTTTCTCTTTCTCTTTCAAATAAATAAATAAATCTTAAAAAAAGGAAAGGGCCCACCTTCCAGGCTTAACTGACATCAGAAGAGCTTGAAGGTCATCAGCTCTGTCCTTACAACAAGAAGAAGTCTGAACCAAGTGGAAACCGAAGGCTCCACTTAGAACCCTGACAGTGGAAGTTCCCAGGCGAGCCGCCACCTGAAGTTTCTGCCTGCAGAGGGCAAAGCTGACAGGCACAGCCGACATTGTCTCACTGGAGAGGGGTCACGGAGCCAGTTGCTCACAGGAACGCATACATGGGAATGGCCTGCAGAGGCTGTGTGTGCACCTGCTTCCCAGTGAGCACCCGCAGGGTCCAGTCTCACGGGGCCACCACACTCTCACAGGAGTGTGCTCCACGAGTCCACCATTCTCATGCTGAAGGTCAGAGGAAGTCCACTGTGGGCTCAGGTTAGGGGGAAATTGCAACTGGAAATAGTCGGATGGGAAAGCTCCCAGTGTGAATTATTCTCCGGTAGACAAAAAACTGAGATAGAGCATAATATGACATAATGCTTCCCTTCTCACTGCCAACAGGGTGTTCATGCAACAGCAGTGAATGACAGTGGAGCAGCAAATACGCCCGTCCAGGAACAATCAAGGCAGACGCTCTCCAACTGTCTACAGCAATCTTTACTGTGCATGTGCCTACAACAGAGCGTCAAAATCCTTGAGGCCAAAATTAATGGAGCAGAAAGGCAGACCAGTTCACGGTTATCATTGAAGACTTCAACACCACATCACAAGTTACTGCCAGGCCCAGTAGGAGGGGACAAGTGAAGGCAGAGTGGCAGAGAACAACACCAGCGTGGGATCCGTCGTGCTCCCCTGCCAGATATGTTATCATATCGTCATGTCGTCACAGCAGGACCTGGGAAGAGGACCTTCGCTGGCCACGAAGTCACTGGAGGTTGAGTCACTTAGGTTGAGTTCATACTGGAGTAGGGTGGGCCTGTTCTCATCTGACCAGTGTTCCTACAAGATGAGAAGAGAGGCCCGGGGTGGGAGAATGCCATGGGATGGTGGGAGAAGAAACGCAAGGGCTGCAGTACCCACCCAGGAGACCCAGGGCTTCCAGGAGCCCGGCACAAGCTGGGAAGTGAAGGAAAAGGTTCTCTTATGACTTTCTGAGGGCGCCTGGCCATACTTGCACCCGGAGTTCTGACACCCAACCTGCAGACTCACGAGACAATGTTTCTCATACTTCAAACCAACCAACCAACTTGGACCTTGCTTTGACACTCTAGGAATCTAATCTGGGCACCATCAGCCAACCTGGTTCTATTGCCATTTAGAGAAATTTCAGCAGCCAGAAACACATTCTTCTCTGGGTCAGATCAAGTTTCCACGGTAGACCAAAGAATGACTCCTTTCACACACAGTACTTAAAATAATACGTGTTATACAAAATACACTACTTAGTCATTACGGTATCGCACTAGAGTTCAATAAGGAAAGATTGCTTGGAAAATCCCCCCAATAAATATGGAGGCTATATAACATACTCTCCAAAACAAAGGGGTCCAATGTAGAGTCTATGGAAAAGTTAAACTATTTTGAACAAAAATAGTCTGTGGGTTGTATTGAAGCAGTGCTCAGGAGGAAAATGTTACCACTGAATGAAAGACATTAGAAAATGAGGGTGATCTTCTCTGGCTCTCCTTCTATCTCTGAGACTCTGGCTTTCAAATAAACAAATAAAAATCTTTACAAAATAAAAAGAAAAGAAATCAGGGTGATTTACAATAATAAGGGATTCTTATGCCCTGGGAAACCAGAGGGCCAAAGGGCAACACAATGCATATTACACATATAAAAGAAACCAATGTGATAAAAAAAAAATAGGAACTCAATAGGGAAAACCCAAAAGTCAAAAATCAGATCTTTGAAAAGATCAGTAAGATTGTGATACCTCTCCCTCTCCAAGCACAAATAAAAGAAGAAACATTGTATTGTCACATCCTTGCCACTGATTGCAAGTACAATAAAAAGAAAATAAGGAATTACTTTGCCTACTGTGTGCCCACAGATTAGACAGATTCCGTGAAACAGACCGATTACTCCAGAGTCAGAAACTACCCACACTAAGCAAGGGGAGATGGACCCTCTGAAGAGCCTTTACAATTAGGAAAGACACGAACGTATGAGTTTGCAAGAAAGTAAGGTGCTAGGCTGAGATGGATTCATTGGTCAATCGCATCCCATTCTTACCAAGAAAACGTCATGCCACATAATCGTAGGTACTTACCCAGTTAACGTTAAGAATAATGTCCTCACAGAACCTGCCACAGGAATGCTCCAGGTGGCCTTCTTCCTGCTTGCTGAAATCAGAAGCCACTAAGAAGTCCTCTAATACTGGGAGGACCGTCAAAGATGGGATGTTGCTCAGTGATGACAATCATTCAACAATCAGCCTACAAAAAGATTTAAAAGAATTCCTAGATCTGTCGCCAAGTCACAGGGACCTGCAGACTCAGTGGCTGCAACTCTAGGAAATTCTGAACAGCACGAGTATAAAGACAGTAAAATGACCAGTCCTGGGTCATGTTCTGGGGTCTTTCGGGGGTTCTGGGAGACACGGGTAGAGATGAACGGGTGATGCTCAGGTCATGTTTAGGGCAGTGAAACCACTGTGTATTGGTGGTGAGTGGCCTGAGGCATCTGTGGAACTCAGAGAACTCTACCATCAGAGTCAGTCTTGGTGCCAACTTCAGAGCTGAGTAATAGCGACCTGTCACTGTTGGTTCAGTTTCTATAACATATGTATCCTACCAGTGGAAGTGTCAATAGAAAAAGGGAAACTGGGAATTCAGTATGAGAACTTTCTGAACTCTATATTCAATTTGCATGCTCATCTCCAACTGTTACTATTAATGTAGAATCTGGTGACACTGTCTCAGGAAGAGGTCTGCTTCAGCCCCTGTTGCACCATCAGGTAAATGTCTGAACATTAGCCTGAGAGGTTGCCATTGACAGTGAACCCAAGGTTAAGTTGTTAATACAGCTTTCCCCTGTACTGGGCACCCTGCTGATTGATTTGACCATTTTACTGTGCGTACATGGAATAAAAGATAGCATAGGATTTTTAAAGCTTTGTCATCACCATGAGACCTTGAATAAAGTAGAATCTTGACTTTTAAATGAGCTTGATGATCAATTTACACTGTACCTTCGTCGACTCCTTCACAGGGTGCATCCTGTTCTTTGGCAAGACACGGATTTTTCTGACTTTCTCGATAGGACGGACGGTAGATATTCTTGACTTCCGAGTTGCTTTTCTTCTTAAACTCTGGAGACAAGACCCTGGAACAGTATGACAGTACAGACAGCTGTTGACATCCCACTGGCAGGAGACCACAGGGAAGTGTGTGCTCATTTGGCTGAAGTTCTAACTTTGGTGCCAGTTTTCACCTTGAGTATTACAGAGCCACCTCCAGAATCAGAGTTGGATACTAGGCAGATGTGCAGTGTGGTGAACACTTCTACTCAACAGTCTGATAGTGCGGGTGAATACCTCACTTGAGATGAGACTGTGGACAGGCATCAGAAGACAGTGGCTGAGAGCAGAGGGGCTGGTACCAGAAGGTCTGTGTTCAGCTCCTGGAGGGAAGCTGCATGTACCTGGGAAAGTTGCGCAGGCACCACCCCTACCCCCACCCCCGCAGTGTCTCAGGTCCCTATTATGAGATAGAGAAATAATGCTATGTCCATGTGTTGTGTTGTCAAGCTCAGGTGATTAAAAACACATGAAGTTTTACCGAGCTGATGCTGCATAATTGTCTGAAATTGTTCACTCTCCAAATGTCAGAGAACGAGTGTGTCACTCGGTAGTGGCTGCATACAGGGAGGGTTCTTGGATGACCCCTGAGGCAGATAGGGTGGGAGTTCCTCTTCCCCTGTCCATGGATAGGAAGCTTTCCACGTGGAGAATCTCTGATTTCCCACGCAGCCCACAGCACAGCCCCAAGCTATGGGCAGCTCAGCAGCCATTCCATGTAATTTATAATTAAGCAAATGTAAATTTAGGGATTGTCAGTGACTTGTCCAGAGTCCCCACATTGACAGGTGATGGATCTGGGGCAGGATCACTGTGTTTTCCTGGGAGACAGAAGGCTCTGAACACCTGGAATGTCCACTTCCTGCCCTAGAACCCTGGGCCAGGAGCTCCTCTCACTCTTTCTCAAGTTCTCCAGGACCAGGCTTTCCTTGGGAACAGGATGTTCTGGGAAAAGTCCCAGAGACAAGAGAAACCACAGCCCACTGGTGGGGGTCATGAGCATGAAGGTTCACACTCAGAGCTGGTACAGCCTCTGCCCCTCTCAGACAAGTATTGGAGGCTGCTGAACTACTTTCTAAGAAACACAGGTCTACTTAAGGCTTCTGTGGCGTTAAAAAACACCTGACTTTCATCAACACTGAGCCCTAGGAACTCCTCACCCCTCCAGAGACCCTGCATGGACAGGAGGCACAACTCTCTCTCTTGTCAGAGAGGCACCTGTCATCAAGCCTGCCCCCTCCAAATCCAGTATTCTGCCTGAGGACCACCAGGCATGCCGCTTGCCCTCTCCCTTTAAATGTCCCCATCACTGACTCAAAAGTACTGTCCCCTCTGTCCCACTTCCTTGAGAGCCCCAAACAGCAGGGTGCATGTGTTCATCCAACCCGTGGAAACTCCACCCTGAGATCCCAGTTTCTTTCCATTGTGAAAACAAAAATCTCTGTATTCAGACTGTTCTTACAGACTTGGTCTCAGATGGCAACCTCTATATTCAGAAGAGATTGGCTTGAAAGTTCTCTTTTGTAAGATGCCTGTGTTGTGTCTGGTCTCAATTTCTCCTGACCAGATGAATGTAGTATGGGTTTCTTCAGTCTTTTCTCTGGAGAGGTGTGAGCAAACTTGGCATTAGAAATAAGGTATTTTCTAAATTTAAGATGTATTTATACAAATGCTGTTGAGTTTCTGTGTGTTTTTATATCCTGCAAAAATGCTCAGGATGACCAGCCATCAGGGAAACTGCAAATAAAAAACCACAATGAGATTTCACCCCACCCCAGTCAGAATGGCTGTCACTCAAAAATCAAAAAATAACCACTGCCGATGAAACTATGGAGAAAAGGTACCCTAAATACACTGTTGGTGGGAATGGAAGCTGGTATAGCCATTGTGGAAGACAGTGTGGAGATTCCTCAAAAAATAGATCTGCCGTATGATTCAGTCATCCCATTTGTGGGAAGATACCCAAGGGAAACGAAATAAGCATGTGAGCGAGTTATCTGTACCCCTGTGTTGATAGCAGCTCAATTCACAATAGCTAAGGTAGAGAATCAACCCTTATTTCCATCAACTGGTAACTCATTAAAGAAAATGTGGTACAAATATACACGATGAAATACTACTCAGCCATAAAAAAGAACGAAATTCTGTCTTTTGCAACAAATGTATGCAATCGGAGGCCATTATGCTTATGAAAGAAGGCAGGTCCCAAAAGACAAATAGATGCTTTCTCCGGTTGGTTGTAGCTAATATATAGAGTACAAAAAACATAATGTATATCAAGCTAAACTGACATCTTATGATTTGATTGTTGTCTACAGCTCTCGTCTCTACCCTTGTAAAACAGAGATCTATCTACATTTTACTTGTGGAGATCTTTGGTTAAAGGAGTTTTGAACCGGTGATTGTAAAGTAAATTGAAATTTTAGTCATTGCAAAAATTTAAAGAAAAAAATAGAGAAAGGTAGGAGGATGGAGTAAGAGAGAAAATGTTGTATTCTTAGAGTCTTATCTATGAAATTCATGAAATCCATTCTCTATAAGTAAATTTAAAAGCAAGTCAAAAAAGAACTCAAAAAAGAAATATTTGAACAATAAGCTTAATGGCTTGTGATACCTTTCTTACCCCTTGGCCTATTTCTACATCATCAGGTATATCTAGATCAAACAACTTATAAGTTGTTCCATATTAAATTAAAATTGTATTCTTAGAAATGCCATTAAACATCTCCCTCATCTTTTATTCCATTGTTCATATTCCATGTTTTAGCAGAATATCTGAGGCTGCGCAGACTGACAAATGGGCATCAGGACTGCGGGCACTTGGACGGCCGTTAAGCGGTGCTTTGGGATGCTCCCACCCCTACCAGAGTGCAAATTCTCAGGTCACGGCTCCAGTCTGGAGTCTACGTTGCGGCTACTGTGCAGCCTGGGAGGCAGCCGATGATTGCTTGAGGAATCGAGTCTGCCACACACATCGCTTCAATTCCCAACCCCTGACTTCAGCCTGGCCCATGCCTGGCTGTGCAGACACTTCAAGAGTGAACTGGTGTGCTGGCGCCGTGGCTCAATAGGCTAATCCTCCACCTGCGGCGCCGGCACACCAGGTTCTAGTCCTGGTCAGGGCGCTGGTTCTGTCCTGGTTGCTCCTCTTCCAGTCCAGCTCTCTGCTGTGGCCCAGGAAGGCAGTGGAGGATGGCCCAGGTGCTTGGGCCCTGCACCTGCATGGGAGACCAGGAGGAAGCACCTGGCTCCTGGCTTCGGATTACCCACTTGGGGGGTAAACCAACGGAAAAGGAAGACCTTTCTCTCTGTCTCTCTCTCTCACTGTCTGACTCTGCCTGTCCAAGAAAAAAAAAGTGAACTGGTGGATAGGAGATAACTCTGACTGTGTCTCCTTGTCTCTAGGCCTTTCAAACAAGTAAGGAAATTCAGACGCAAATTGAGATGCCCACGTCCCTTATTGGAGTTCCTGCACTGGTACCTGGCCGCATCTCATGACTGAAGAACCCTCCCAGAGCAGGCCTTGGGAGATGGCTAGGATGGCTCAGAAATGATATGACTGCCACCCTCCTGAGAGCTCTGGGTTGTGGTCCTGGCTCCCAGCTCTGGCCTGTGTGCAAGCTCGTGTGGGCATTGTGGAGTGAGTCGGTGGAAGGGAGGGAGTGCTGTCTCTCTCCAGTCCTCCCACCTCCTCTGTCACCCTCTCCCTCTATCCTCTCCCCTCCTCCCTTCTCCATCTCTGTCACTCTGCCTCTATAATTTAAGATGCTTACTTAGTATACACACACACACACTCACACTTACACACACATACTCTCACACACACACGTACACACATACACTCAAAAACACACTGAGCCTTGAAAGTCGTGCTCAACTGCCTCAGAGAGAATGGTCATCAGGGAGCCCATGTGATGTGACCACCGTGGAGTCAGGACCCAGAGAGCAGGGAAGGGCAGTTGTCCTCTCTCAGACAGGTCTCTCGTGACAGCTCCCTGGGTCCCGTGGGAGCTACGTTAATCCCTTCAGTGGCAGCCCACGGTGACCTCATTACTTCACGCTTGTCTCTGCCTCTTAAAATTTCCTCTTCCTTCCAGCATCGCTACACTGGGGACCAAGCTTCCATCCCAGAAACGTTTTGGCGACACACTCAGACTGCACCACACAGAGCACTGTCCCCCAACTTCTAGAATTCATGCTGGGAGATACTGATGCGGTGAAACCCCGCATCACCACAGATGGCGCTGCTTTTCCTCAGGGGTCACTCAGCCGCACGGGCGGGTGGGCAGGGGAGGGGAGGGAGAGGCGGTGTTTGGTTGTTCAGCAGGGAGACTCGTAGGGTCTGCAGCTCGAGAGAAAAGTTGTGTGTGAGCATGAGGGGCAGTGGGCAAGGGCAGACAGAGAGACAAGGAGAGAGAGAGAGAGAGAGAGAGAGAGAGAGAGAGGCAGTGACTGAGTAGAAGGAATCAGTTCTTACATTGCCCAGCATGGTGGAATTTGCTGCAGTTCACAATAATCTCTCTTTTGTGAGCAAATAGAAAAGGGGAGTTCAAAGGACCCAAAACTAAAGTGATGATAAAGAGAGGAAAACTTTACCTTGATTTGGTGAGTACCTGTTGTCCACATTTATTGATCTGTCACACCATAGTCAATAACTATTGGCCGTTACTAAGTGCTGGTCTCCGACTGTTTCAAATGTTTAATGAGAGGACAGTGGTGCAGGATCTGTCTTGTTCATCACACACTGAACACGTGGATGGAAGTGGAGTACGTACAGGCCGAGCCCTGGAACGAAGCCCGCACAGTGTCGGTGCTGCTCGGTTCTGGGTCAGTCGATGCTGAAGGTTCTGCAGCAGTGTTCCAGAAGCTTCTTCCAGAGCCGGGCCTCACGGGGAGTGACGGAGGGGAGGGAGGAAAGGCAGATTTCTCGTCCATGTCTGTGCCTTTTACCTCCACTACACCCATGCTGTTTCTCTTGTTGTGAACATGCAATTTTCTTTCAAACAAAATTTGATAAGATTAAATATAATAAATACATAAATTATATGTAAATATATAAATTGTTTATGTGATTATATAAAGAAAATAAATATACATATTATGAATATAATCATGCTATTTTGCTCCTGGCCTAAAGGGAGAGCAGTCCAGAGGAGACATGGTGGTGATGGCCCACATCTGCTTGTTGATGCCTGGGGTCTGAGGGAAGAGCTAGTGGCTGGGACTGAATCCACAGCGAGGAGCTGGCATCATCTGGAGACACCGTCGCTCAAGACCAGCAGTGGAGCTGGGTTCAGACGGAGGGCTGCAGGAAACCTCCTGTGTGGCCTTGGCGTCCTGCAGCAGGGGAGCCCGGGGCATGCAGAGTGCTGGTCTGGTCAAGGGCTCCACAGGTGAGCGACACCAGTGACCTGGCAGAGGCCCCTGGCATTTCCATAGAACTCTGGAAGTCCCACAGAGTGCCTTCCACACCGTGGGACAGTGCTGGGCAAACCCAGGGGCCGCTCTGGTTCAGAGGGAGGAGAGACGCCAATGAACATGTGTAAATCAGCTATGCGCACAGACTACTTTGTTCTGTTCCTTAACATCTGTACAAGTTATTTGTGATGCAGGTTGTGAGATGCATAAAACATCTGCAATGGCCTCTTGCTTCTGAACTTGACTTATGAATATATTAGTGTTCTGTGTCTTGCAGCTTATTTGGGGAAGGATGACCAGAGTCTTTAGAATAGATCTAAAACTTCAGACTTTGATGTCACTCACCACAATATTGTCTGGAATTCCAAAAATGTTCCATCAGCGGTGATCTGGGTCTTTCTGGATTTGACATTTGATAGAAGTTGGGTAAGTGAATATCATATATTTTTCCTATGTGACCCTGTCATTCAAGGCATAGAATTTATCTGCGATGTCACTGCCAATTAAAACTGAAAACAGGCAGAGGATGTAACGATGCTGAGCAAAGAGCAAATATAATTTCGTTGTCCTCCAAGACACATATCGACAGTCGGTTTCTGCTGTTAGGATTACCTGAAAAATGCCTTCCTCTGTGGGCCTCAGTGAGTACCACGCAGAGAATCCAGGAACTCAAAGGGGAGAATGTAACACAGAAACTGTCGGTCTGCTCTACAAATGAAATACTGGCAAGATGATAAATGGTGCCTTCAGCCTCTTGCTTCCAGACTGTGCAGACGGGGCGTTCAAGTAGCAGATTCTTCCATAAACTTGAACTTCTTTCCATGGCTGTGCTACTACCTGGTTCCCTTTTCAGTTGACTTTAAATGACAGTGGGGCAAGCAGTTATGTCCTTTGCATTTCCATAAAATGAGAGTTTTGCTCAGTCTTCACAAACCACAAAAATTGTTCAGTAGCATGCAGTTTAACTTTTATGTTTGTAAAGCTTCTATTCTTCTTGTAATTTTATTCCTTTGTTGTCTGAGAAGATAAATGTATAATTTCATTTTTTAAAGATTTTATTTATTTAAAAGGCAGAGTTAGAGAGAGAGGGAGACACAGAGAGAGTGGTCTTCCATCCACTGATTCATTCCCCACATGGCCACAATGGCCGGACCTGAGCCTATCCAAAGCCAGGTGCCAAGAGCTTCTTCTGGTCTCCACGTGGGTGCAGGAACCCAAGCACTTCAGGCATCTTCTACTGCTTTCCCAGGCCATAAGCAGGGAGCTGGATGGGAAGAGGAGCAGCTGGGACACGAATGGTGCCCATCAGGGATACGGGTGCCATAGGCGGAGGCTTAGCCTACTACGCCACAGCACAGCCCTACAACTTGCATTTTTTATTCAGCATTTCATTAACAATGTTTAACTCATTAAAAATAAGCTGCAGAATCATAGCATTAAGCTGTACAGATGCATTGGAATGTGTTTAATCTGGCTGCTCCTACAGAATGCCTGTATTTCCCTCATCTCAGTTTTTGGTTGTTATAATATATAATGCTGAAATCAATGTTCTTTCCTATAAATGTGTGGCACAGCGGGTCAAACCGCCACCTGCAATGTGTGCATCCCGTATTGGCGCTGGTTCACACCCTGGCTACTCCACTTCCAATCCAGATTTCTGCTAATGGCCTGAGAAAAGCAGAGGAACCTGGCCCAAGTGCCTGGGCCCCTGCCACCCACTGGGGACACTGGATTAAGCTCCTGGCTTTGGACTGGCCCAGGCTTGACTTGTAGCAGCCATCTTGGGAGTGAATTGGCAGATACAGACTCGATCTCTCCCTGCCCCGCATTGTAATTCTAGCTTTCAAATAAATTTTTAAAAGAATAATAAAATAAGAGACATAAAATTGTACATGTTTAACAGGCACTAGTATGTTATGGGCAAACAAAATCCCTAATGCACACTCATTGGAAGAAATGGTACCAATTTTGCCATCTTGTTCTCTTGTGAATACTGTTTAAACTTTATGTGTCAAGGTCATGGTCGTTGCCTCCATCTTCTGAACTTTAAGCCTGAAATACCGTCTCCAGCCCCACGTGACAGGATCGTGTCGATTGTTGGAGGACTTCCTGGTCCACCGGGGCTGCGCGGCTCTGGGCGCCCCTGACAGGCCGCTCTCCTGCAATCCACGACCCCAGACCTGGGGACTGGCCCGCGCGGCCGAGGTCGAGGGCGGTGTCCCTCGTGCAGCGGGGGCAGTTGTGCTGGAGCGAGCTCCGAGGCGGACGTCCCAGGGCCACGCGGGATGTCCTCTCCCTGCCCGGCGGGAGGGAGGTGGTCCAGGTCCGTGCACCTCCATGCTCCTGTCTGGCTCTGCCCCTGTACGTTAGTGCCGGTGGTCAAGCGCCCCCCATCGTCCACTTTTATATCGTCCAGTGAGGCCGGCCAGGTGGCGGGTCCTGAGCGGGAGGTGGGGGTGGGGGAGTGGGGGCCCAACGGACGCTCGGACGGTTACAGTTGGGGCTGATTGACCGGTGCGTGGTAGGAGTTAGCGGTTGGGTGGGTGATAGGGCGTGAGGCTTGCTGTGGTAAAATAATGCTTATGTAACTCATTTTCGTTATATAGAAGTTATAGTGATTAATATACAGATACTAATGTGTGTAATCACAGATACTAAGATACGTTGAATATATATAACAAATATGCATTGTATAAATCTTAGTACTTATATCAGAATATTAGAATGCTATGATTATTTGTAATTATTAACATTGTTATAAATACTAGAAACCCACAGAGGCAGGACCTGCAGCTGCGGAGAGTTGACTGCATTGTTCCAAAGCTGCAGCCCTCACTGAACAGGTAAGCTTAAGTCATTCCATCTGCCACAGCCACCATTTGGCTCCAAGTGTTTGATGGAAACCAGCGAGAGCCGGCACAGTGGCTCACTTGGTTAAACCTCTGCCCTCGGTGCTGGCACCCCATATGGGCGCCGGGTTCTAGTTCTGGTTGCCCCTCTTCCAGTCCAGCTCTCTGCTGTGGCCCGGGAGGGCAGTGCAGGATGGCCCAAGTGGTTGGGCCCTGCACCCACATGGGAGACCAGGAGGAAGCACTTGGCTCCTGGCTTTGGATCTACGCATCGCCGGCCATAGCAGCTATTTGGGGGGTGAACCAATGGAAGGAAGACCTTTCTCTCTGTCTCTCTCTCTCACTGTCTAACTCTGCCTGTCAAAAAAAAAAAGAAAGAAAGAAAGAAAAAAACAGTGAGTGTGCATTGCACTGAATGGGAAACAAGCCCACCTGAGTCCACCCAAAGGATGAACTCAGAAACAAGAAGGAAACAGTAGGCGAGGTGTTTATTGATACCTGGTCATTTTTAACAAAGGGTTTACTTATTTATTTATTTATTTATTTGAGGGGCAGTTTCAGAGAGAAGGAGAGATAGAAAGGTCCTCCATCTGCTGGTTCACTCTCCAAATGGCTGTAAGGGCCAGAGCTGGGCCAATCTGAAACTAGCAGCCAGGAGCTTCTTCTGGGTCTCCCAGGTAGGTGCAGGGGCCCAAACGATGGGGCCATCTTCCACTGCTTTCCCAGGTGCATTAGAAGGGAGCTGGATCAGAAGTGGAGCGACCAGGACTTGAACCAGCGCCCATATGGGATGCCAGGCTGCAGATTAATCTGCACCACAGCACTGGCCCTAGGGATTCATTTTGTGACACCATCAGAATGAAGAGATATATTTCTTCTTTCATTTATTAACGTTTGTCATGAATAAAATATTGAATCCCTTTAGATGTCTCTGAAATGAAAGGATTTGTTGAGTCATAACAGATGCCAGCCAGGAAGAAAGGACTGGTCTTGGACAAGTTCCAGCAGCCCTTGGCACCAGGGGTGGCCAGCACTGGAGAGCTGTGTGTCAAATCTACACAGCTGGCATATTTCACACTGCAAGTCTGGGGAGAAGAAAGCATGCATGGCTCCCACTGAGCCTGCACTGCCTACAGATAAGAGCAGTGGACAAGCACAGAGCACATCTTTAGTATTCAAGGAGAGTGCATGACTTGGTGTTGCTGGATGAAGAATGGAGGGGGCTTGTGGCGTAGCAGGTAAAGCCACTGCCTGTGATGCTGGCATCCCGTATGGGTGCCAGTTTGAGTCCCAGCCACTCCACTTCTGATCCAGGTCCCTACTAATGTGCCTGGGAAAGCAGTGATGGATGGCCAAGTACTTGGGCTCCTGCACCTATGCGGGAGACCTAGCTCCGGCCAGTTGTAGGTGTTTGGGGAGTGAACCAGCAGATGGAAGATCTCTTTCTCTATGAGTCTCCCTCTCTAGCTCTGTAACTCTGTCTTTCAAATAAATAATTTTTTTTTGACAGGCAGAGTGGACAGTGAGAGAGAGAGACAGAGAGAAAGGTTTTCCTTTGCCGTTGGTTCACCCTCCAATGGCCGCCGCTGCGGCCGGCGCACCGCGCCGATCCGATGGCAGGAGCCAGGAGCCAGGTGCTTTTCCTGGTCTCCCATGGGGTGCAGGGCCCAAGCACCTGGGCCATCCTCCACTGCACTCCCTGGCCACAGCAGAGAGCTGGCCTGGAAGAGGGGCAACCGGGACAGAATCCGGTGCCCTGACCGGGACTAGAACCCGGTGTGCCGGCGCCGCTAGGCGGAGGATTAGCCTAGTGAGCCGCGGCGCCGGCCCTCAAATAAATAATTTTTTTGACAGGCAGACTGGACAGTGACAGAGAGACTAGAGAGAAAGCTCTTCCTTTTTGCCATTGGTTCACCCTCCAATGGCCACCGCGGCCAGTGCGCTGCGGCCAGTGCACTGCGCTAATCCGAAGCCAGGAGCCAGGCACTTCTCCTGGTCTCCCATGGGGTGCAGGGCCCAAGCACTTGGGACATCCTCCACTGCACTCCCTGGCCACAGCAGAGAGCTGGCCTGGAAGAGGGGCAACCGGGACAGACTCCAGCGCCCCGACCGGGACTAGAACCCGGTGTGCCGGCGCCGCAGGTGGAGGATTAGCCTAGTGAGCCACGGCGCTGGCCAATACATTTTTTAAAAAAAGGAAAAGTGGAAAGAACCCTTGATGCCCTGCTCCTGGGTGCTGAGTGGAGGCTTAATGCAGGTGTAGGAGTGGGGAGCAGCTTTTTCTTGCTATTTCTGTTTTGGTCCCAATCTGTTCACTGGACTGCTTTTTTTTCTTTCTCCAACCTTATAAATACATTTAGGACATCTTAGAATTGTATCAGTCTCTAGACATGAGACAAGAGAATTGTATGCCAGCCTTCTCCTACTCATTCCTAATGACAGACAGAGACAAGGAAGGACAATGAGTTCACCTGGAAGGTTTAGGATATAGCGTCTGGGTCTGGGCCTATCCGTGTCCCTGGGGAGTCTCAGACTCCCACCTTGCTGTCCCGCCCCACAGCGCTGCCCTTCAAGACTGATGCCATCTCACCTGGTGCATTCGTGTACTGCCCCCAGGGTAATCTCAGAGCACAGAGGACCAGCAGCTCCAACCACCCCCACTGGCACTCAAGTCTCTGAGCCCCATGGGCATTCAAACACGATTTTCCTTCTGGTGGACATCTTTGGGAAGAATGGCCGGCCCCTCACTCAGAGTGAGGTTCCTGTTGTCAGGACAGGTTCAGCGATGAGGTCTTAGTGACTGGTGTTAACCAAGAGCTCCTCTATGTGGTAGCAACAGTGCACCTGGGGTGTTTATGCTAGTAGGGGAGGGGAGGACCCAGTGGCCCATGGACAAACAGATTAAGTGTGTGTGTGTGTGTTAGATTACATGTGTCTTCCTACATTGTGTGCACATTTATTTGTATATGTACACTTTCCTATAAGCTCATGTATTTTGAGTCAGGTTTATTTCCACCTGAATTGTTTTTGAAACATATGTGTCTGTATGTCTGCATCTCTAGAAAAAATGTCCATGAGTTGTTACCCCCAGGATACTGAAGTGTGTCAGTGACAAGGACACAGCTACCCAGGTAAGGGAATAATTTTCAGTGAGTATTTGTTCAGTTATATGCATGTCTTTGGAGGTTTGTTCAATAGTTACATGTATTTACATAAGTGTATATAACCAAAGATTTTTCCAAGTGCATTATTTCTACTATGTGCACCTGTAGGTCTCAACTCCCAATTGGTAAACAGAGAGCCATCTGGAAAACTCACTGCATTGCAGTGGGAGAGGACCCAGACTTTCCAAAGTCTTAGGTCTTCCCTTGTCCTGGACATATCCATGGGCAGTGCATGTCCCCACCCACCCCTAGCAGTTGGGCTAATGCTCGTTAGCCAGGAAGAGTGGGCCCAAAGTTAGACACACTCCTTATGCATCTCCTTGGGCTAGCCCCCAACACTCACCCTCAGACCCAGTGACATGGGCCTCCCTTGTGTCCTGCTGCCCACTAGTGCTGGTTAACCAGCCACGGAATCCACAGTGCCCCAGCAAAACACGGGAGGTTTAAGACATGCAGTTTCTCGGCCGGCGCCACGGCTCACTAGGCTAATCCTCCGCCTTGTGGCCCCGGCACACCGGGTTCTAGTCCCGGTCGGGGCACCGGATTCTGTCCCGGTTGCCCCTCTTCCAGGCCAGCTCTCTGCTATGGCCAGGGAGTGCAGTGGAGGATGTCCCAAGTGCTTGGGCCCTGCACCCCATGGGAGACCAGGATAAGTACCTGGCTCCTGCCATCGGATCAGCGCGGTGCGCCGGCCGCAACGTTCTGGCCGCGGTGGCCATTAGAGGGTGAACCAACGGCAAAGGAAGACCTTTCTCTCTGTCTCTCTCTCTCTCTCACTGTCCACTCTGCCTGTCAAAAAAATAAATTAAAAAAAAAAAAACACATGCAGTTTCCAAGACTGTGAGGTGGCCCTCCAGCCAGCCTGCTCGCTCTCTCTAGAACAAGGATGTTTGGGCAGGGTCTGGCTCTTTCACACGGTGTGGCCGTCAGGTACTTGGGCCGTTCCCTGGCTCTGGGAGGTCACCAGACACACACTTTCAGCCACACAGTGTCAGGGCTGTTCTTCCAGCCTGGTGCTGTCATAACTGCCCACAAGAAAAGCCCCGATCACAGAGAGAATGTTCTCAGAAGTGACACTGCTCCCGCCGCCTGTCTGCACCCAGTCTCTGCAGTGCCAAGGTGTTGAAGACATGGTTTTCTGCCGGCGCCGCGGCTCACTAGGCTAATCCTCCGTCTGCGGCGCCGGCACACCGGGTTCTAGTCCCGGTCGGGGTGCCGGATTCTGTCCTGGTTGCCCCTCTTCCAGGCCAGCTCTCTGCTGTGGCCCGGGAAGGCAGTGGAGGATGGCCCAAGTGCTTGGGCCCTGCACCCCATGGGAGACCAGGAGAAGCACCTGGCTCCTGGCTACGGATCAGCACGGTGCGCCGGCCACAGCGCGCCGGCCGCGGCGGCCATTGAAGGGTAAACCAACGGCAAAGGAAGACCTTTCTCTCTGTCTCTCTCTCACTGTCCACTCTGCCTGTCAAAAAATAAAAATAAAAAAAAATACATGGTTTTCCTTCTGGGGAAAATCTTCGGAAAGCACAGTCAGGTCACACTCAGAGGGAGGTCCCTGTGGTCAGGGCTGCTGCCGTGACAACACTGGTGACTGGGGTCCTGCAAGGAACCCTGGATGCCAAGGGTCTCCTTGGATGTTTATGGCCATCGTAATTGCCAGCAGCGGAAGGAAGGGACCAGTGGTCACTGACGAGAGAGAGAGGTTGTGCTTCCTTGATGTATATGTATATTGAATTTTATATGTTCATTTTTCGTAAACTATGAACCATTGGGAACCATAGTTTTATTTCTGCCTGCATTATTTCTGAGGACATATGTGTTTATGTATACCTTTGTGGTTAAAAAAAAGTCATAATCTCCCTCTCCCTAGGATAATGAAGCATCCCAGGTACAAGGATATGAGTATAAAGGTCAAATTAAAATGTTCTACATTTTATAGCACATGTGAATATTTATTCAGTTATGTCCATCTGTTTCATGACTTGTTCAGTACTTGCATATGTTTGCCTCAGTCGGTATCACTAAGTGTTTTCCTAAGAGATAAATCTTGCAGTACACTCCATGCAGACATCAGCCTTCCATTTATGAACCAAGAGACATCTGGAACCCTGGCCAGATGTGACCCTACATGTTCATGTGACCCTACATGAACAATTAGGGTCCCTAATGTGACCCTACATGAACAAGTGCACGGGAACTTGACATCTCCACCCTATGCAACAGTTAGAATAACCCTCTTCACTCGCCATTGGATGCCCTAAATTGGACGCACTCCTTACGCATCCACACGGCCCAATATGCTGCATCACAAGTCACGTTGCCCAGAAGGGATTGTAGACCAGCTGTGCATCCCGAGTGCCCCTCTGAGAGTGCAGGAGGCCTAAGACACATGGTCCCTGCTTATTCCCCAGCACCCCAGGGAGCTGGCCCTCCAGGTGGCTATGCCGTTCTCTCCAGGACAGAGGAGTTCGAGGGCAGACCATGCTTTCAAACTGTGTGTGGCATTCAGGGACTGGGGTCTCTCCCTGGCCCTTGGGAGCCCTCAACCTCCCTCTTGCTGTCCTACCTGGACAGTTGTCCCCACAGCCTGGTGCCACCTTACCCTGTGGCTATATTTGCTTCCTCCAGGGTAACCTCAGAACACAGAGTGAGGGAAAGTTCTTAGGGTAGACACCCAGCTCCAGCCAACCCCATCAGCACCCATGACTCTGGGTCCCGTGGGTTACTCTGTAAATGGCTGGTCCTTCTGGTACATACGATTCCAAAGTGTGCCCAGCTTCCTACTGAGAACAGGCTCCCTTTTGGTCAGGGTGGTTCAGGGACATTTCCCTGGTGATGGTGTCAGCCAAAGGCTCTTGGTGTTTATGCCCCAGACTGACTGTAGTGGAGAGGAGAGCCCAGTGAGCTATGGACAAGGACATTGTGTATATGCCATTTGTATGTGTTTGCCTTTGTTGTCTGTATATTTAATTTGCATATGCACACTTTCTTGTTATAAACTTAAGTATTTGGAAACTGAAGGTTTACTTCAATCTCTATTACTTACTTCTGTTATATATATGTTTATATATTCCCTTGTATATACATTTTTGAAATAATGATATTAATAATTCTTCCCTCCTAGAATGTTGAAGTATCCCAGACACAACAGCACCATCACACAGGTACAGGAACAATTTCCTACATTCCTAGACTAGTGTGATAGTGACATTGTACACACGTCTTTGGGGGATCCTCAAAGTTTATGTACATTGATTTAATTGGATGTAGCCTAGGATTACTCCAAGAGCATTATTTTGGCTACAAACACCCCAAGGATTCAACCTCCCATTGATGAGCCAAGACACATCTTGAGCTCTGCATGGATGGAGGCTACAGGGACTTTTGGCTGACCCAAACCCCTGATGCTGGACTAGACATTGGCCTTGTGTGGGGGTGCTTGGCTCCCCACTGCAACAGTTGGGGTACCCTCTTCTTCCCACAGTGGAGGCTTCAAATCAGACACAGTTCTTTACAACAACATGGGGAGGTCCAACACTTACCTCTGACCTGGTCACGTGGTCTCTCACATCCTGTGTTACCCACAGGTGAGGTACCCCAGATCTGGGTCCTGAAGCCCCCTCCAGAGGTGGGGAGGGCTAAGCATGTTGTCTCCAAGCAAGACAGGTAGCTGGGCCTCCAGGTGGACTGGTCCATCTCTAGGGCAGGGAAGTCTGGGGAGACCCAACGATCCTATCTTATGGCCCCCATGGTTGCCAGTGGGGAGAGATTTAAGTGTCTGTGCGTGTTCCACTGTGTGTTTCTCTGAGTTGTGTGTATATTGAACTCACTTATGTCCAGTTTTTCCATAAACTCAAACTGTCTTGTAATCTTAGGAATTCAATAGGAATAAAATCACTAATTAATAAAAAAATTACTGTAGTTTAAACCAGATTTTTCTGAAATGAGATTGATATAAAGTGAAAATTATTAAATTCAAATGACACAAAAATAAGTAGAAAAACACTGATTTTTTAATTTGTGACTCAAATAAACCAGAAGAAACTCAGACCTAATGATCCTATGAATGAAATAGGGACCAACAGAGAAAGGGCAACCAGTAACTCAGGGAAGCATTTTGTAGACACACGATAGAAATAACTCCATGAGCTCCAGGATTCTGACACTGCCTCTCTGTATAAAGGGAATGAATCTAGATTTGGGAACTTAGGGGCTGTTGTCCTCCATAACAGGACTTCTACTGATTAAGAATAATCAGGTCAGACTGATTGAGAGGGGAGGTTCATGAAACAATGATGAACTACAGAGGCAGGAGATTAGGTGTTGTATTATTTAGCATTGCGCAGAAACAACTGAGGAAGCAGGGTGAGGCGAGACAGGCATTTCTGAATGCTGTTGCTCATTCAGAATTTCCAAAACCTAATTTTCTGTAAAAAGGATGACAACAACATATTGATGGATCATACAAGGGTACCAGAGGGAGAATCAGTAATCGAAACAAAGAAGGAACCACGCCACACATGAACAGACTCCGATCTTGCTGTCCTTTGTGTGTGGAGCAGAGTCGTTTTCAGGATGAAGGAAAAATCACCAAGACAATGGTACCAAGTGTGAAGGGACATCATTACTAAGAATCAGGGAAACTCAGAAATGGATGGGCAGGACACAGGAAAGAAGAAGGAAAACAGGAGAAAATAACATCAGCCTTGAAATGCAAACCACAAGAAACACAGGAACGGACTGTGCCTTAGAAGAAGCAGAAGGTGGCATAAAGGGAAATACTGTTAAGAATAGGAAGTTTACTGAAGATTTTAGAACACGAGAGGGAAATACCAAAGGTGAATCCATGCATGTGTATGAATGGGATTCCTGGAAGAGGGAACCAATGCAGTGATCCAGACTAATAATTAGAATTCAGACTTCTTCTGCTATGAAGTATACTCCCAGACTACTTCACAGAATCCTGGGTCTGACTTTGAGTGACTGATGTCACTGATACTCTAGTAGCATCTGTGAATTAAAAGAAAATGTGTTCATGCATCTAGAGTTCAAGGATGAGCGGCACAGGAGGAAATGAAAATGAGACTCTCACCAGTCTTGTAGAGACAGAGAGTCTGGGTCAGGGGAATAAAAATGTATTTAAGATACTCAAGAAGATGGACAGAAAGAGGGCGGAGCCAAGATGGCAGAATAGTGAGGGCGCGCACCGATAGTCCGGGAAAATTTAGTTTAATAAAAGGGGAGTTATGGTAGCCTCAGAAAAAAGAACCAGGAAAATGTTGCAGAGGAAACTCTTCTGGATCAAGTGGCTGTGAATCGGAGGACCTACTGGGAGAACAAGGTCGCCCACCGCGGGGAAGCCGAGCCGCGGGACCGAGCCGCGGAAGCCGCAGGGTCTGCGCGCCAGTGCTCGAAGGGGAGTGCATGCCACACAGACAACAGCGGGGAGATTTGGGACGTCCAGGGCTCCGAGTCCACACATCGGCGCTAGAAGGGGAGGTGAGCTCAATAACCCGAGACATTGGTGGGGAAACGGGGGTCAGAATCTAGAGGGGGGCCGGAAAGTGCAGCAAACTCACTACCGGAAAGAAGGAAAAAAGCTTGGGGGTTTCTCTTTCCCCTAACCTTGGAAAGGTTGCAAGGCTGCAAGGCTTGAAGAATTCACAAGAGACAAAGCGCAGGCCCCCTCTCTGGATTTACATATCAACGGGGGAGAGCTAAGGAACTGAGTCACTACAATTCAGTAGCCTAGGCAACCCAGTGGGAGTCCAAAGGAGCCTAAACAGACTCTGTGGGTAGAAGCCAGAGACTGGAAGCTAAATACCATCAGTTCTGCCATGCCTTGCGGTGTTACTTGCCCCTGAATAAACAAAATAAATAAATAAATAAATAAATAAATAGAGAGAGATTTACCACGCATAACCTGAGGGTGTCACCTTTGCACACCCTTAACCAGGAAGAACCAAGCAGAGCTCTCAGGCCGCACCCATCTCAAGCCTCCAAGGCTCCTCCAACAGCAGGCAGTCCACTTAACAGGGACATAGTATAAAATAAAAAAAAAACGCACAGTGATGAAAGAAGAATTAACTATGCCGAGTAACAAACACAGAAATCGAGGGAACAAGATCAACCATGACACTATGATGCCTCCAAATAAACAAAACACCCCAAACCAAGATTATGAAGATGATGAGATAGAAGAAATGCAAGATATGGATTTCAAAAAATTTATGATAAGAACATTGAGAAGTTTTCAAAAGCAAATCCTTGAACTACAGAAATACTTAATGGACAAGATTGAAAATCTCTCTCGTGAAAATGAAATTTTAAGGAAGAATCAAAATGAAACTCAGAAACTAGTAGAACAGGAAAGTGTGATAGTGAAGAGAAATGAAGAGCTCAATAGATCAAATGACAAACACATTAGAAAGCCTTAAAAACAGAATGGGTGAAGAAGAAGAGAGAATATCGGACTTAGAAGATAGAGCACAGGAAAACATACAGTCAAACCAAAGAAAAGAAGAGGAAATTAGAAATCTAAAAAATATTGTTGGGAATCTACAGGATACTATTAAAAAAACCAACATTCGAGTTCTAGGAGTTCCTGAAGGCATGGAGAGAGAGAAAGGATTAGAAGGCCTTTTTAGTGAGATACTAGCAGAGAACTTCCCAGGTTTGGAGAAGGACAGAGACATCCTAGTACAGGAAGCTCATAGAACCCCCAATAACCATGACCAAAAGAGATCCTCACCACGACACATGGTAATTAAACTTACCACAGTGAAACATAAAGAAAAGATCCTAAAATGTGCAAGAGAGAAACGTCAGATTACTCTCAGAGGATCTCCAATCAGACTCACAGCAGACTTCTCATCAGAAACACTACAGGCTAGGAGGGAATGGCGAGACATAGCACAGGTGCTAAGAGAGAAAAATTGCCAGCCCAGAATATTATATCCTGCCAAGCTCTCATTTGTGAATGAAGGTGAAATAAAGACCTTTCACAGCAAACAGAAATTGAAAGACTTTGTGGCCACTCGTCCGGCCCTGCAAAAGATACTTAAAGATGTGCTACACTCAGAAACACAGAAACATGGCCATCAATATGAAAGAAGGGAAAGGAAGAACACCTACCAGTAAAAGAGCATGGGAAGCTCAAAGCATATACTAGAAAATATTTCCGGGAAAATGGCAGGGCAAAGTCACTACGTATCAATAGTCACATTGAACATTAATGGTCTGAATTCTTCAGTTAAAAGACACTGTTTGGCTGACTGGCTCAAAGAACACAACCCAACGATTTGTTGCCTACAAGAAACACATCTCTCTAACAAAGAGGCATGCAGACTGAAAGTGAAAGGTTGGAAAAAGATATCCCATGCCAACAGAAACCAAAAAAAAGCAGGTGTAGCCATATTAATATCAGACAAAATAAACTTAATACAAAAACTGTTAAGAGAGACAAAGAGGGACACTATATAATGATTAAGGGTTCAATTCAACAGGAAGATGTAACTATTATAAATGTATATGCACCTAATTACAGGGCACCGGTCTATTTAAAAGATATGTTAAGGGACTTAAAGGGAGATTTAGATTCCAATACAATAGTACTGGGGGACTTCAATACTCTACTCTCAGAAATAGACAGATCATCCGGACAGAAGATCAACAAGGAAACAGCAGATTTAATTGACACTATTGCCCAAATGGATCTAACAGATATCTACAGAACTTTCAACCCTACATCTACAGACTTCACATTCTTCTCAGCAGTGCATGGAACCTTCTCTAGGATTGATCACATACTAGGCCATAAAGCAAGTCTCAGCAAATTTAAAAGAATTAGAATCATACCATGCAGCTTCTCAGACCACAGCGGGATGAAGCTGGAAATTAGCAACTCAGGAAACCCCAGAAAGTATGCAAACACATGGAGACTGAACAACATGCTCCTGAATGAACACTGGGTCATTCAAGAAATCAAAAGAGAAATCAAAAACTTTCTGGAAGTAAATGAAGACAACAACACAACATATCAAAACTTATGGGATACAGCAAAAGCAGTATTGAGAGGCAAATTTATAGCAATAGGTGCCTATATCAAGAAATTGGAAAGGTACCAAATAAATGAGCGTTCAGCGCATCTCAAGGACCTAGAAAA